TGGAGAGTTTATGACCTTTGGAAGAAGGGGCAGGCAACTCAGGAAGAGTACAAGGATGTTGTTAGGTCATGTAGACAGGAAATTAGTAAGGTGAAAGCTCAGCTGGGACTCTACCTGGCCACTGCTGTGAAAGATAGTATAAAGTGTTTTTATAAATACATAAAAAATAACTTTAATCTTGATTTGATGCCTTACTAAAAAGAGGTCACGACTTTAAAACAACTCACAGTATTAATTTCAAAGTGTTTTTTTTTATTTTCTTTGAATATTGTAATTAAGATTCCATTTTTGCATTGTATTTCACCACAAAGACACAGGTTTAATCACCCTGAGCTTCTCCTACAGTCCCTGTAGAATATGTCTAATGAATGTAATCTCACTAGGACATTGATCCCAAAAGTTTTACTGGCATTACTAAAAGGTGAATCAATGCTTTTGATTCTTAATATAGACCAATATACGGTCAGAAATGCTGCAGATACATTTATAGACAGTTGACTGGGCCTCCTAATATATGTGCAGCATATGTCAAACAGCCTGTCTGTGTCTGCTAGGATAGTCACCATCTTTTGAAATAACATATGCCAAGCCATCAAACTTTATCTTCCATTGGCATACACACCAGAGGTTTAGTCAATATATTGGTTTCAGCTAAGGAATATGAATTTTCTAAGTTCTGAGCTATATCAACAGACTTTCATAGGCCAGATGGGGCTGTAGACAAGTCCTTGCCACTTTTTCAGCCTGTGACTTTGTTCAGCAGGTTGAATTGACATGTTGTTGGAAATGCAGAAGCCAATGTGGCTTATTCAGCAGCAGGCTTTTATCAGTTCAGATGCACCACTTTAACAGCACTGAAAATTCATAGATGTTGCGTCATGGAAAAAAGGTAGCCTCCGATTCTTGTTTATACATGTTTGAGAAACAGCAGTTTCCAATGATGATGTATTTTAATTTGCCATATGTGTGAAAGTTAATTAGCATATTCGTCATCCAGCCCAGAAGTAACATTGCGATTGCTTTCCCAGGCAGTTCATAAATTGTACAATTCCAGTAGAGTCGCCTCTGTCTCCCAGAGACAGTTCTGCATCCTCCCACAGCAAGCAAAGTGAGTGTGGCCAAGGGTTTGAATCAGGACTTTTAAAAAGATATGACTTTGGTATTCTCTGAAAACTGATGGTCATGGGTGTTGACAATTCCTATTAGCTCCAGTAGTAGCCTGGCCTGTGTGATTAAGATCAGACATCAGGCTCTGCTCTGGGAGTGTGTCCTTCTCTTGGATCCTGCACAGCCTAGATGATGACTGCAGAGAGATAACGGAGAGTTGTGAGTGAACCATTGGAGGCCATGATGTAAGTCATTACCATTATCTTCTCTGTGGGAACTGAGTGATGGAGCAGAATCCTGAAAGCTCTCTCTTGCCCATTGACCCACATTAATAGGGTGTCACTTAGCAAATGGATTTGAAACTGCTGGAAACTTTCTCACTGGGCAGAATTCATCAAGGGGCTATCCCATCAGGCAGAGAACTGAGAGCTGCCTCAGAATTGTTAGTACAACAATTTCATGTCAGATGTGCATTTATTTAAAACGATTCTGTGGTGGTTTTAACTAATGCTGGGATCCATACGTGACAATCAGAAAAATTAGTTGCTGGTCTAACAAATATGATATCTGTTAATTTCAGCAGTGCCCAAATGAATGCCAAGATACTGAGAACCTCTTTTTCCCCTGGACTCTTATCACTATTCTTTTTTTCAAATATATCTCATATGAAGCATCATGATAAATTGGATAGACTTGCACAATGCATTTTGGTTTAGGTCAAGGCCAGTGAATTTGAAAGATCAGACTCCACAAGATTAGTTCATGTAGCTCCAGAAAATTGTGGAGCAGAAGGAACTGGTGATTTAACAACTAAATACACTACATTTCTGTTACCTGGCTATGGAAATCTATGCCTTTATTCTGTTCATAAAGAACAAATACCTTTTGAATCTATAAAAAAATACCTCTTAAAATGTTTATATAATATGTAAAAATGGAATATCTCAGTTTTAATATGTTGTGTATACTAGTATTAGCATAAAATAATGACAATTCTTAAAATAATGACAATAATGATGACAAGGATCATTCAATGTTTTCTACTTTTCTGCACAATGGGGAGTCACATGGTACCATCAGCTATTCATTTTGCTATTTTTCTTTTTCTCTTAATTTTAAAAGAGAAATTAGCCTATTTATATGTGTGCATGTGGTAAATAATGATTCACATTTCAACATAGAAGGTAGAGGACAAATAAATACCAAGCAGCCAAATTGTGTTACAGCTACAAGTCTTGAGTAGTAACCCCTTTAGTGAATCGTCCTTTTGATTAGTCTGGAGTGCCTTTCCTAGCTGAGTCCTTATGGGTTTGAATTTTCAATTCCTTGTGGTGGAACCTGACCATTAATTGTTGTTATTACAACCCCAGCCTGTTCAAATACATGGCAAAGCTTTAATGACCCTCGTAAAAGAGCTTTTCCTCAAGTCTAGAAAATGTGAATGGGAAGTGGTGATGATGTCCTGGGGGGGAAGCTTACAATAAGTGCTCAGGTTCACCCTTGTAGGGTGAACAAGGCCCCACCCTTGTAGCAGCTGCTGGGGCCCTGCAGGGCTGATGGCTCCCTGTGGGCTGGGGCCATTGCAGGGCTCCCCTTGAGGAGCCTTCAGGGTAGGGCCCAGCAGCCAAGGCAGATCCCACTCCCCAGCCAGGAGCAGGGCAGCCAGGGGTACCCATGGGATCACTGGAGCTGCCTGCTGCAGCATCCTTGAGTCAGGAGCTGATGGCCCTGGGGGGTGACACAGGGTCCTGGGCTATGGGCAGGTGGAGGGAGCCCTGGACAGGAACTGGGCAGGGGCAGGGAGGACTGGGGCTGCTCTCAGGAGCTGGGACTATGTTAGGCACACTCCTAAAGTGCACCTTCCACAATGGTTACAGCCTGACACAAAACCATTTTGGGTGCTCCTCGACCAGTCCATGGTGGAAACCAAAGCCCAGTGAGTGGGGAACGTCAAGAGATGCACTTCACAGGCACGTTCATGCTGCGGGTTAAACCAGTAATATAGGCACACCCATAGTGTTGTAATGTACTTTTCCTGCTACCGATTTTGTTATGATACTTGATGATCTTATAAAATGAGTGTGTGAGACGCGTAGAATAAAAAAACCAGAAAACATTGGCCTAATACTACAGATGGCTTAGTTTAAAAACAAACAAAGAAAAAACAACAAAACAACAACCAAATAAATATTAAGATGCCTATCTTTCATCAAGATAGCCAGAAAATTACCTCTTCATTAACACTCCTTGATTATTATTTTTTCTTTATATGTCCAGAAGTAGAAAGCTAACCTAGTATGGAAACAGAAACAAAATAATACTTTAATGAAAAGTTGATCAACAGGTTAATAAACTCCCACCCCTCTGCCCCCCAATATCCCACTTTTGCTGTGCATTGCTTTTCAGCGCTCATTCTCTATGAATCCTTATGGTTATATTTCATTAATATTGAAATGCATAATAAAACACGATTAAATTTAATCATATTTCAAATATCAATGCAAGATATCAGACAAGCTTTAATTCAGTTCATTTGCTGTTGCTAAATAGTATTTGAAAAGAAAATTGAAAGATGATATGGAATTTATCAACTCTATTTTTACTGATTAGCCATAAGGTTTTGCAAATAACATTTCAGGCAGCAACATAGACAAAAATTTATATGTTGAGCTGAAACATATGAGCAAAATGGCCCCTTTTTGAGACTTAAACTGACATAGATTTCAACAGGTTTATTACAGTAAAAAGAACAACAGATTTCCACCAATAAAATGATGTGTTGGCTCAGATAGTGACATACCTGACACACAATCTTGTCTGCTGTCACATTAACAATAACTGAGATTGTGGGCAGAAAATTAAGTTGGAGAGTCAATGGACAGTCAGCAATATTGTTTAGGACAAGATAGTAAAGCTATAAAGTAGGTAGGTGAAGAGTGAAGAAAGGAAAACAAAAAAATCACAACTAATAATTTTGATAAATCAAATTTATTTTTTTTTTTACTTATGTTACTAGAAAAATGAAATAAACTGAATCTTGAAAGTCTAGGTGTAGTTTATCTTTTCTTTTGCAATTATTGGTGGGTTTGGGGTTTGGTTGGTTGGTTGGCTGTTTTTTTGTGAGTTTGTTTTTTTTTTTCCTTTTAATTATCTACATGTAGTGCTTCACCCATTATTCATTTGCTCAATGCCTGATGAAAAGGAAGCCTCTGTATGTTGGGAAGGATTGCTTGGAGTCTCCTTATGTTAGGACATGGATTACACCTTTCCAGATTAAAAAATTATTAGAGAATAAGCTGTTAATGCAGGAGGGTGTTGTTGCTAATGGTAGGTGCCTTCTCATAACTTCGGGAACTGTGACTACTATTGTGCTTTTCTTTTTAATTCATTACTGTAAGTCTTTTACTACATAAGTACTAGTTTACTACTGATAAGAGTAATTTTCTTTTAACATTTTTAATCTTTGTAAATTCAGTATCATTGTCACATCTCTTTATGCAGTTATAATGCCACATACTCTATGAACAAAATGTTAACTAGTGCACTATTTATCTGCTGGTAATGTAAAACAGACAAAAGGACAGAGCTGCTTAAATGAGATTTCTCATACCTGTCTTTCCTACTATGAATTTGTGTTAGCTTTTTACTCATTTTATTGAAACCTTCAGGATGAAGTGACCTACCACTGTTTATTTTGCTAGCATTACTCTTTTCCATCCCTCTTTGTTTTTGTTTTCTTTGGTGATCTTCTTTGTCCTTAGCTGCTCCACATACCAGTTCTGAGCAGAAACTTGTCCACTGGTGTTTTACAACGTGCCATGGAGCCTTAGGACTGTTCAGTCTTACTGTTTATGCTATGGTTAATCTAGACTGCATGTGTTTTTATTTTTCAGGAAACTGAAGCAGCAGTGCAGGCTAAACAGCCGAATGTGGAAGAGGTTTTGTCTAAAGGGGGTCATTTATATAAGGAAAAACCAGCTACTCATCCAATAAAGGTAATCAAGCAACCTATAGCAATATCCATTACTGTGTAATGGGTTATGCTTCCCCCGTTGTACACTTGTCCTTGATGTGCTCTGTTTAAAATCAATGAAAGAACCTGGCAAATGGCATTTGTTCTGTTCTGTGATGGCATAACCAGGAAAAATGTAATGTTCCCAGCTGGATTTTTTTGTGTGTGTATTGTGATGGGAATATTGTTTTTGACATTAGGGTTGTTCTACTCATTCAAGAATAATTCACTCTGAAAGCAAATGTAATTTTTGGTGCCTAATTAATGGCAACATAGAGCATGCTTTTAAACTCCTTCATTTTGAATTGTGGCTTCAGAAATTTTGTCAAATAAAAGAAAAAATGAGCAAATTTTCTAGAAAAGGTAAGAGTCAAGACATAAATAGGATCCTTTGCTTTAATTTTTTTCATTTTGAAGGAAAGAACACATAGCAACATAGAACTTTCCCACTTGATTTCTTTTCCAAAATTTATCTGGAATGACTCACTTGATTCTGTTTTTGAGCATAGGACACATTGTTAGGAAGGCTTTGCCTCCCAACACTTCTCTTTTAGAAAAATGTATTGTAGAATCCTTTTCCTCAACATAGGAGTTAGTTATAAGAGGATATTTTACACTCTGTTTCCTCAAGACTATGTGGACCTTCACTGAGACCAGAGTGTCATTTTCTATTCATTGTCATTGGAATCTTGAAGCAGAAAGTCGTCAGCAAACGTCTGATGTCATCACCTCCCATATCTGGTTCTGCTACTTTTGGAACAGGAGCCTAAACTAGTAAGGTCACTACCATGCCAACCAGACATCGATCAGGTTTCTGGTTTTATAACTTCTAAAGAAGTATCTGCAAACATGACAATGAAGAGTTCCCAGAAACTGTAATAGCAGCTTGTTGATTACACTAAGTATCTACTGCAATTGCTTCTGACTAGGCAGAGGTAGCAAACTTTGTCTTTAAAGCTTTTCCAAACATGCAGTACTCAATAACCTCAATTTACAGAAAAAGGGTTTCTTCACAAAGTTAGGATGTTCATAAGTGATCTCTGCAGTGAATTTCTTGGTTTTTTTCATCTCTGTTTAGTCACTATACTTGGAGAATATTTTCCTACTTTTACAAAACTTCCTCTGAGCTACTTATCCCACCAGCAGATCTCCATTCACAGAAACACATGAATAAACTTATATCCACTTTAGAAATTAATACATGTTTAAGAATGATTTGGTTCCTCTTCTTCTTTCTTAACAGAAATCTGTAAAAATTATTTTCCCCTTTGGTATCTGTGCATTTTCAATGATCAGGTCTCCTAAACAGGGGTAAAATGCTAGATGACTTGAGGATGACTCGAGGGGGCAGAAGCAAAGCTTTTAGCTCTGTATTGTGTGTTTTCCTTAGCAAGGTTGCAAAGTTAAGAACTCAAAATTTTTAAAAATCCTTGAATTAAATCTGCTCTGGTGCCCTTGGTTGAGGCTGAACCCTGCTTATTCAGAGCAGGATATGGACAACACTCCCAGCACAAGCAGCAATTCAATACTTAGACTTATAGTCTTTGTTCAGTGTGTGGCACAGAAAAAAAAAATAGTAAAATTATGTGGCCTTTTTAACAGCGTTAATGACTTGCATAGCGTTGCTTAACTACTTTGTAGATTTAGTTCTCTGAGGCAGATTTCTCTTAGCTGCTTTTTTTCCTCCCATATTTCCTTAATTCACCACAAATCTTTGCATTCTTTTCAATAAATGAAGTAGAGGTCCTATTGACCTGTTCTCACCGCAAGCCTTTCCTGTGCTCAAAAGCAGTATGTGCCAGAAAATTAAAGATATCAGTACAATTATGTGCATTTTATCTGAAATAATGTTCATAGTTAATGTTATTTTTGCATTTCCTAATGTTTAGCTGCTTATCTTTGCAACCTTTATAATATATTCTCATTATAGTATTTTGAATGTAAATTAAATCCCATGGTTTTATATTGACACAATCTTATCTCATAGTTATGCCACTGAAATAAGTGTATTTTCACACCTTCACTGAGCATACTAAAATAGAATTTTGCAACGTAAGTCTGTAAAAACATTTTTGTTGGCAAATGAAATCCTAGTAGATGCTGATTCAAGAGGCAAGAATGGGATGAGATGTGTGATCCTTTAAGCACTAGCACTTTAATAATCAGACCTATTCACTTTTACAAAATGGATTTCATGCTTTTGAAATGCATTTCTGTAAAGCTTTTGAAGGTGAGGGAGAGAGAGGTTACTGCTGGTGTCAGTGGCAATAGAAAGAATGTAAGCCCCAATCTCATGATTAACTGCACTTATTCAGGAAAGGATTTGTGGCAGTGGAAGAACTGTGTTTCCCTTGCCACAGCACTGAGTTTGTTTTTTCCTCTCATTGGTAATAAGTAGTGAGGAGCTCATTTTCACTTTCCTCAGTCTTAGGTTTAAAAGACTGCATCATTTCTTTCTCCAAATATTCATATCTATATTTAGTGCTGTCAGTGAGAGTAGTTCATGTATGAATGTTAACCTCACTTAAATTGCACCAGTGCTGACATTTAAAGAAATTCTGTAACATTTGGCCTCAATGAAACATATTTAATGCTCTTGCTTGTCACCAGAGCTCTAGAGTTGCAATTACAGCAAAATTGTTATGTTCAAAGAAGTTAACATTTTAATGCATGCATGCTAATTTATGCAAGATTCAAGATCGAACTATAATTTTGATAGAAGAGTTTAGAACTGGCTACTCTCTTCTTAGTGGTGTAGATGTTGCCTCAGACAACTCTTCTAATGTCTGTGGTGGGCATGTTTTATATTTTGTCATTGCTGGAAAGAAAGGTCTAGCTCATATACCTATGAATGATAAGGCAGCTGCTCCTAATGAAGATCAGTATTATAAATATTACATCCACATCTCCTTCCTGAGTTACTGTGAATGTATTGTAAAATAAACTAGACTTTGGTACTGTAATCTCTCCAACTTTTGCTTTTAAAACACTCTGTGCAACTATTGAATTAATAGATATTGGAGCAATACTTCACATTTTAGCTATGGAAGTAGGTTCTTGAGATACAGCAGCAGAGAAAAAAAAAAAGACAAAAACTTTAAAATCTGCCATAAATGTTTCCAAAGTGTGTATTTCTGTGTGACTGTAATTCATACAGATATAAAACATACCTATGATTTTGAATTGTCATACAAGTTATGTTTATCCCACATGCCCAATTGTTTGTTCTGCCTAGTCCTCATAGTCTATTATCAAGGAGAATCTCTGATATACATGACTTTTTATTTTTTTTAGTAGAGTTTTTAAACTACTTTTAAAGATAAAAAGTTGGTATATTCCCTAATGCAGAATTGTATCCTTTCTCTCCTGCCCTATCAAAAAGCATTTACACAAAAATCTGTCCAGAATTTATACCAGATAATATTCTGGCCTCCATTGCTGGTAGGTAGAAAAGAACTTTAAAGGTTGAGAGTACTTATGGCAAAGCTTAAGGTAAATTCTAGAAACACTGCCCTGACATATCAGAACATAAAATTGTGTCATCTTAGAATCTGTGTGTGTATGTGTACACACGTCAATTTAATGAATGTTGTTCTCTATCCCTCTCCTATTGAACCCTGACATCTTAGACTCTAGGTAATTAAAATACCCTTCTTAATAGGCATCCTGTTTCCATCACAGCTGGATTGTGATTTATACTATATATCTAGTTGTGGATTGAAACCATAGAATACTAAAAGCATTCCTGAGTGGCATTGGTACTCTGTGCTGCTTTTTGTAGCAGACAATCAGGGAGAAGCTTAAAAAGGAAATGCAGTCTTCATTTTAAGAGTTTAGAGATGTCAGCACAGAATTAACAATGTTTCATCCTTCTTTACAGTCCTTAAAGCTAGGGGAAAAGAGAGGTAGAAAGAACATTTTCAAACTTAAATGTCTCTCAGGGTTATCTGAGGACTGATGGTATTCACAGTCTAGACTTTCATGCAGGTTTTGTTTAAAGGGAACAGTTTAGACATTACTGATCAGGACTATGTGCCCACACACTGAAGTTTATGACTCCCTGAAGACTCCTAAAACTTTATTTATTCTTTTTTCCCTTTTTTTTTTTTTAATAGGTGGAAGAATGAATTCTGTATTTGATGTAACAAATTGCAGAGGTTATATTGACAAGCTTTTTGAAATACATAATTCACGTCTCTATTTTAACTAAAAAAATTAGTATCTCAGGTTACAGTGATTAAAAAATAGACCTGTCTACAGTATGTTAAAGAACAAGTCTATGTTCCTTACGAAGGTGTAATTTATTTACGTTACAAGGCCAGATTGGATGGGGCTCTAAGCAACTTGATCCTAGTGGGTGTTATCCCTGCCATGGTGGGAGGGGAGATAATCTTTAAGGTCCCTTCTAACCCAAATAATTCTATGATTCTATGATACATTAATTTATGTATTATAAATTTAATATATTTTTATGTTCTATTCTAGAAAAAATTAGAAGACTTGAATGCTGACTGGAAGGCAATACACCACTTAATTCAACAACTAAAGGAAAAGCCAGCACTGTCAGCATTTGGCCATTTCTCTCCAGGTGTCTGTAAGTGCTTCAGTATATATGTTTTTTAAAATTAATTACAAATCACACAGTTAAAATGAAAATGGCTGGAGACTGTCTAAATTAATTCTGCATCCTTACAAGTGCTACTATGCCATTTAACTTGTTTTTTTATCATTACCTTTCTCTTTTGCACAATATATCCCAGAAGACGAATTAGATTATTATTTGATGTAAAGGTTGCAGCATGCTTTTCAAATTATTACTGTTTCAAAGTCATGTTTCTTTATGGGATTTTGACTTTCTACATATATTAATGGAGGAAATACTGCAAAGGGAGATGAATTATTTAAATTAAAAGATAATAATGCTATAGGTCAAGTGTCTAAATTGGTCACAGAATGAAATTCTGAAATTACTACTACTGATAGGACAATAAAGTGAGAGTGTTTCAAGGCACAGATTTTGTATTCATGGAAAAAGTCATACAGCAACATGGTAGGAGTAATTCTACAGTTAAATATTGAATCTGTGATATACATTTCTGTGTGTCTTGCATTCATGAATACACAACAAGACACTTGATCTGCATTTTATTTAAATTATTTGGACAAAATTTATATTAGATACTTCTCAGATCTCTTTGCACCTGCTTGTACCCTACAAAGGAACAAACTAATTTTTTTCTCCTTGATAAATGAATTTTATTTCCCACTGCTTTCCTTTAAAATGTAGTGATTAAGCATGGGTGGAAAAGAAATACATACTGGAAGCATGGGGTTCAGTCTGAGTTTCTCAAGTGTTTGAGATTCTCTACTTGATATTGAACTATCTCAGTTACTTGGATGAAGAATATTACTCACCTCTACAATTTGGAATGCTGCTCATCATCTGTGGGAGCAGAAAGAAATGTTCCCCAACCCCCACCCCTGTAAGATTGTCTGTAACTCTGGTTTTGATATAGATACAGTAATGACTTGGAATTTGATTACATGTAGGATGTTTATCACTCTTGCTTTTAACATGTTTTAGTGGGTAACATTCAAGAAAAGCTGAAATTGGAGAATTCTCTACCTTCTACTACTGACTGTCTGGGACAGCAAAGCAGAAAAAAACTTTTTTTTTTTCAGAGAAGTCTCATTGCACTAAATACCACTAGTATTTTTAAAACTTGTAGGACAACAGTGTCCTTGCTTTACAGGATTTTGTTCTAAGGCATTCTGTAGAAATTCACGTAATGATATGGAGGGACTGAAGGAGATGCATGATCATTTTTTGCTCAGCTGGGTCACTAAACTTGCTGTGTCAGTTTTATGTGTGAGCAGGTTATGTCAGATTCCAGAGGGAAATAGTGTTGGAGAGTTGCATATTTGCCGTTACAAAAGACATTATAATAATGGAACAAGAGCAAGAACACAGAATGGTAGTGCAGTATATTATTATATTAACTCCTCTTTAGCTGAAGAATTACTCATTTACCTTAATGCAAGATGTAGGCTCTGACTGCTAACATTTCCAAGACTCAGCAGATGGAATTATACATGCAGAAAATTAAAGCACTGATGTTCTGTAAAGGATTAAGCAGGAAGTAAGATTGATTTCCTCTCTGTTGTCAAGAGCACTTAAAATGTGAACCTGTGCTTGTAACACTAATTCATAATTTTTCTTTATTTGAGTCGGTTTACTGTGATATTATAGGTGTATTGTCACAGAACTGTAGAGTTCAGAAAGGACTTGGAGAGACATCTATTCCTCCTGCTTGAAGCACAGTCAATTAGTGCGTGTTGCTCAGGGTCATGTCCAGTCACGTTTTAGTATTATCAAAGATGGAGACTCCATAATCTCTCTGGGGAGCTTGTTCCAGTGTTGAGCAACTCTGGCAGTAAAAAAAAAAAAAAAATGTTTCTTCTTCTATTTAAATAGAATTTCTTGTATTTCAATTTTTACATAGTGCCTCTCACCCCACCACTGGGCTTCCCTGAAGAGTCTGGCTCTGTCTTCTTTACTTCACCAATCAGTTATTTAAACACATGGATATTATCCCCCTGGGCCTTTTCTTCTCCAGGCTGAGATAGCAGGTTTCCTCAAAGATAGGAAGTGATATCTGTTACTAAGGTATTTTTGTATTTCATTTAAAACAATGGGAAGTGGGGAGGGAAGAAATTGAATGTCATGGGTCTTGTCATGCTGTGGTATAAGTTCTGCAATTATTTTAACCACTTATGTGATAGACATTTTTATGGACTTATTTATTCTCTTCTGCTGATTCTCATGCATTGATATGCACCGAGACCCAAACTGGCTGTGGGAGAGTAAGCTTTAACCAAACCTTCCTGAAGCTAAACAATCTCATTAAAGGTCACCTTTAAAGAAAGATGCACAAAATTATTTTTTAAGGATTCTGTGAAGCAATGGCAGTATTTCCTATTGGTAATTATTCACTTCTTGATCCTGCAGAGACTTTTAGGGACATCAGAATTTAAGAATGTTGACAGCTGTGTTTGAGACCAGGGAATGAAGATGTAACTGGCTGAACTCTACTGCCCTGTCAGGTGTTATTTGATCTAGTCTGGCTACAAGAACTTAGTCAGAGTCTTACTAAATATACCATGTGATGGCTGTTACAGAGGTAAAGGACCATGTTTATAATTATTTCTAGGTCTGCACATCATAGTTTCTTCAGCTGAAGAAGCACTAAAAAAGTCCTTAATATCCCACCAGTCCAGTGTGCCCTCAGGCATAGTGAACAAGAAGTACTTTTCCAGCTCAAAAAATGTACTTAGCTGAAGGGTATGCCTAAAACCTTAGCAAAGATTGACTTCCAAGATAAGATGATTCAGAAAAGAAAATCACACTTGCTATCTGTATTTGACAGGATAACGTGAAATTGTGTGAATGTCTCTATCCAAATACCTCGATGCATTGCTTAGCCAGCAGTTTGAAAACATTTCAAACACAGAGAAATGTAGTTCTGGAATGGGCTTTTCCAGGAGGGTCAATGTTTAATAGCATCGTTAACATTCATATGACTTCTTTTGTACTGAAGTGCTATCACTGTATTTACTTAATAAGTTAGATAAAGTTACATAGTGTTTTGTAAATCCATCCAAATGCATTGTGGGGTGGGAGACATTCCTGACTTTGGTCCTGAGGAAGTCATTTTCCATTGTTTGCCTTCATTCAAGTAAGATGTTAGGGGAATATTTAGATAAAATTCATGGCCAAATTTATACTTCAAAACACAATTTCTTAAAAAGGATGTGTATTTATTTTCAATCATGCTGTACTTGAAGTTAGTGAAGTTTTAAAAATAACTGCAAATGAATACAACTGAAAGTACTTGGTTAACTAATTTTATATTTTGCATGTTCACCTAATAAAACTGCGAGTGATATGTTGTATTAGTACTCTTGCAGTTTAACTTTTTTCCCCTGACAATTTACACAAGCTTTTGTGGTTTTGTATGAAATGCCTCATCACGAGAAATAGAAAAATATGTGACTGTGAAATGAAGAAAAAAGTAGAGTGAGAATTAGTATCAGTTACAATGGAGAAATTTATTCTGAAATTAGGTAGAATTTGTCCCTTTAAACTTTACAAGTTTTCAATCTTATTTTGGAACATTGTTTGTAGCAGGTCTGAAAAAAGATAAAAAAAGGATTGGTTATGTTTTACAAATTGTCGCAGGCTTGCATTTGACAGAAAGGCCTTATGTGCATTGCTAATTATTGTACATTTACTAAAAATAATTGGAAGATAGCCAATACTGCATCACCAGAACTCATAGCACCTGCCATCAGCTTTAGTATCTTTCTTTGAATGCAGGCAATTGACACTCTTCTGTGCTTTCGGTATAATTTGCTTTGGGAGTAGGAGCCAGGGATGGCAGACACAGAGCCAAAGACTGGGCTTCCCTGTGCAGGGGAAGAAGGATTTTCAGGATTTAGAATGAGTAAAGGAAGAATGGGAGAGGAGTGACATATCAAGCTGAGTCCTTTAGATGCAAGTTGTAACATGAGGACTGTGAGCTGCAGTAAGTTCACCAGCAGCAGTGGTGGTGAGGAGAACTCATCACTTACTAGCCTACGTGTTCAGCTGGAGTGTAGGGAAAAGATTCACAGCAGTCAGTCACCTCAAGAGTTGATAATGTCTTGAGTTTGGGGGTTTGAATTAAAAGAGTGATATTTGTGAATCTGGGGAAACTAGTCACAACAGAATTTCATTTGCTTGTCCTTTGATATTTTAGTTGAAAGAGTATCGTATGTCTTCTTCTGTTTGGGAAGTGTAGTTTGTTTTTTATTTCTCTATGAAACAAGTCCTCACCTGGACTAGGCAGACCAGGCATTCTGCTTCGTTCTAGGCTTGTAAAATCATATAAAACAATTCCTGAAAAATACCACTATTACTCTGAGTATATGTACTGCTGTGGCTTAATGCAGCTGAAATTCATATTCACTGCTTGGAATATATAAAAAACATGTATGGGTACTATTAAAAATATACCATTCATTAGGCTGTAGGTTTTTGAGGAAACTTAGCAACAAATAAAATACACACTTTGATGAAATAACTTAAGGTTTAAAACTAAAATCCAGTGACCTCAGAAGCTGAAAGTGCTTCTGTGGTGATAGTGCCTGTTTTATATGCCTCTGGAATTTTCTTTCATTTTAATATTAAATGCATATTTGAGTCAACTATAATTCTATATTTGATTCTTCTAAGACAGAGAGATGTACAGATGGACATAGCAGTATCCTACATTATGAAGACTGCTCTATTAAATCTCTGATATGATATTTGGGTTAATATTTTCAGTGGGGATGAAGGATTCTTTGTTTTTGAAACTATAGCTATTGAAATATTCCATGGACTTCAGAGCTGAATTGTGTACTGTTTCACTGCTTCTTTAAAAACAAACAAACCATTTGTATTTAAGAGATATTCAGGAAACAAAGAAAAAAATTTAAGAAACAAAATGACAACGACTAGCTTTGGGCAAAAATGCACAATAGATAAATTTTCTTTTTTGTTGTATTTCATAG